AAACGACGAGGAAACATAAAATTACCAAATCATATTTTCTGACGAATATAAACTTTTTCTTCAGAAAATATACTTAATACTTTATAATTGTTTTTTTTTTCAATATTGAACCAATTCAATATCTTTCATAACACCGATATAAATATCTGAAAACAATTAAATAAATAAATAATTATAAAATATAGTATAATACATTGGTATAAATGCTAAAAACTATTTTTGTTTATTTTAATTTTCTGATGGGTCCAGCGGTTTGGGAGACGCAGAAATAAATTTAAAAAATTACATTTGGTATTTGAGATATTTATAAACGCTAAAAACTATTTTCTGATATTTTAAGTTTCTGATGAAGGGTCCAGTGGTTTAGAGACGCAATTTTTTTTAAAAAAAATTGCATTTGGCGGTTAAAAATGATCAAACAAATCATTATTGATTCATATACATAAAGAATTGGGTGAACAAATAGAAAAATAGACAAGTAGACAGGAAAAAGGATAGACAAATAGAAAGATGGAGAGACAAATGAGCTGATAGAGAGATTGGCAGGTTGGCGGATAAAAAACTGGGACATCTTGTTATACGATATCCTCATTTAAGGATCGATTCAGCCGCATAGCATACCAATGTTATGGAAAGGCTATGTTATGAAGAACTTCCCATACAAAATATTGACAAAAGCCATGTGCTTGCTAACCTAGAAACCGCACAAATGTCAATGATAACAGGGTCTTTTTAATACAGCTTCATAACATACGTGTCACGTTGCAGTTTAAGTGTGAAACGCCTGAATGAACAGCAAATACATGACATGTAGATAGTATTCAGAATGATTCATAATGTATGGAAGTTGGAGCGTAACATATGCGCTTGCCTTAACATTGTTCTGTTATGTGGCAGAATCGGTCCTTAGTAAGTTTTTTGGTTTGTAGTAATTTCTTGTTTTCTTAATTGTTGTTTCGGCTGAATAAAATTTGGACGATTACACAAGTTTTTCATATAATCATCAAAACGATTTCAGAACTCAGGTAATTTCACTTTTCTCGCTCTCTGTAACTTGGGATAGAAAAATTGTATGTTCTTAAATGATGAAGTTCAATGTCCAATGTTAACATCTATGGACAACTAGGACAGTGGCGGATCCAGCTTTGGTGCCAGGGGGGTCACACAATTAAATTATGTATAGAACATATATTCGCAATACGATTAGAAAATCCTTAAATTTTAGGAGTCTTTGGCTCCGTCGTTCGTCTATAATGAGTTATATATTGGAGTTATGTAATGTGTTTGGTAACAAAATACATAAATAAAATCATTATGAAGTAATTTTATTACTGAATTCGTGTTCTAAGTCTTAAGGCAAGATCAGGGGGGTCATGACCTTCCCTGGATTCCCCGCTGAACTAGGAAAGCCAGAAATTCAAAACCAAACTCAATATTCTTTGTTCCAAATTTTCCTTCTCTAAAGTTGCCTTTTTCTGGCTTTGTATTGAATAATGTAATAATTTGCGTCACGAGTAATGCTATGTGGCTTACACTTACAGTTACAGTTTAAGTGACGTGCAGTTGAACTCGTCTTCTAATTTTGTTTATGCCGCTCGCTGGTTGCCGGCTCATCCATCACGAGCGACGGCGTAACACGCATCACTGAAACGGAACCGTCTGATCGATGCATTACGCCTTTACAACGCGAATCGCGGGATCGTTTCACCACACCTACTTACGTCTGATCGTCTGATCCGCAACAAAGCGAATTTATTAGACCGATATCTCGTCGAAATTGTAATTGACATATTTTGTTAAAAATTAGAATTTGGTTCTAAATTTGTGGTTTTCCTAGATAACCATGGATGCGATTGGCATTGGACCTTGAACTTCGCGAGAAAAGTGAAAATTACTGACAATAAGTTCTGAAAATGGCTGTGATGATTATGTGATAAACTTGTTTAAGCATCCAAATTTTATTGAACAGAAACTAAGAACTATGCAAACCAAAAAAATCTACAAACCAAGAAACTGAATGAATGAGGATACCATGCTGCTCACTTGGCTATTTGTCTCTCTTTCTACCTTTCTATTTGTCTATCATTTCATTTGTCACTACTCTCTCTTTCTATTTGTTTACCTGCCCATCTGTCTACCTGTCTACCAACAATTCTCTTTTTTTTATTATGAATCAATAATGATTTGTGTGATCATTTTTCATCCAAATTAGTTTCCATATACCTGCTCTCCTACTATGCAACCCATTTTTAAGCATCGATGCTTTGCCGCATTAATCGAAAACAGGAAGGCTTGTCTTAATTACTGATGTCTCTGTATATTATCTTGATTAAACTTGTCTATGTGCCACTAGACTTCCGCGATTTAAAATCGATCGATCGTTGCAGAGAATTATTACCTTCGGTAATCACACCAGCCTGGGGATACTGATTACACCCTCAGGGCGGTGGGAAAATTAACTATAGATGTAAATTTTTGAGATATATGTTAGGTAAAATTTTTAGTCGATCGAAAAAATTGTAAAGAAGACCATCAACCCGAAACAATAAATCCAATGTTACCTTCACCTTTTTGTGAAGCTAAGAAGTAGAGACAACCTTAGCTAATGATGATTTTAATGAGAAAACCAATATCTCTTAATTAATACATAATTGATATCCTATGCTATATATAATTTATCTTGTTCGACTAACTTCTTCATTCTTCTCTCTCTTCTAATCTTCTTTCCATCTTCTAACTTCTTATTCCATTCAACTCCTATTTTCCTTTATTTCTTCATTCTTCTTTATATCTTCGCGTGTTCTAATCTTTTTTCTTCTTACTCCAAATTCAACGCAACTATTCGATTTCTGTAGTTTTTAAATTTAACAATACAAATTTTATGTCAATGCGAGTATCCTTAGTGAATTTAGAAAACCTAAATATAAAATATAATTTTTTACTACATTTTCTGGATTTTTTCCTGTTCTTCACAATTCCTAAGCCGATTTCTTTTCCTAAATTGTATTCAAATATAAATAGCTCCTGCGTGCTTTATGTTCTGTATCATTTCTATTTTAATATTTCCAACCAGTTTATCAAATAAAATCATGTATTCCATGTTTCTCATTAGATACTTTTTTTAAATCCCGCGAAGAAGGGCGCCTGACATTTTGACAGTTTGCTGATAGAATGTTTTTAGAACTCACAACCTATCCCATAAATAGAATAATTCTCTTTTGATTCTCTCAAAAAATAAAAATGTGTATAAATACACATTTCCTTCCATTTGAATAGTCTGATATTAATTATGTGTTAGCTATATAATTATATTAATTACTTTTTATATGACATGTTATGATCATAATAATTCATTCAATGCATATTAATCAGAGTGTAAACGTCAAATAGCTTTTGATTTACTGGCACTATATTTTTATATAAAAGTTGATTTATAATTCCATTAATAATTTTTGTACAGTAATGATGGACAGTATTTATTGGATGTTTTCAAAATTTGTGTATCGTCGCTTTTGCCAACAGATGTAAAATATTTAAATTGGCTTGCTTCTTATTAGATCCTTGGTCTCGAGAATCCTATATAAATTTTTCTAAAGATATCCTGGAGATTATAGGTTTAATGATATTTGATTTCTTATATTTGACCAATATAGTCTAAAATTTATAAACAGGTATCAGCTTCAATTAAGGTTGTCATAGCATTCAAACAAATATCCATAAATACTGATGCCATGCAGTTAACATTTATTTTAATCAAATTATCCTGGTAGTATTTTTAGGAGCTAAACCAAGGTTGGGCTTAATCTGATAGAGTTTAAGAAAGCGAATAGATTTCATCTAAACCAAACGAAATACACAAAAAAGGTTTAAAAATTAAATTTATATTGGTTCCAATAATGTTATTAAATAAAAAAGTTTACGTATTCCAAGATTAGATGTTGGGTCTGGATAA